GGGGATTATTCAACTTTTACCTCTTTTCAGTGGCAAATATCATATTCGCTGTGTTTGGCCGTAGGGTGCTGATGGCTATCTAAACCCAGAGAGGTGCTAACAGCATTTCAACTGTCTGACCAATAAAGAAATGATTGTCATTTGTATGGTAGGAGGACTGGTGCAATTACCTCTGGATAGTCTGAGAACAATATGAGAGCCTCAATTCCAAACCACTTTCAATTCAAATGAAGGCAGCTTGCCTTGCCCACGATGGGGGGGAAGCGAAACGATGTGCAAACACGAGGGCAGGAAAGTTTAGAAGTTGTTCCACAGATAGGGAACTTATAGTAGAATGAGGTTTCCCCATAAGTTTAGGTTCTGACTTTGGAAACAACTATAAGGCCGGTACCAGAGGACGTCGGGGTAAAAGCCACTCCTACATACGTGTGGAGACCTACAAATACCTAGTTGTGTATGGACTGGACTGGAGGACCAACATGGATGCCGTGTACAAGCAGGAAATGAGCAGACTTCACTTCCTAAAGAAGCTCAGGTCTTTCAATGTTTGCAGCAACATTTAGGAAATCTCTCATGAGTCTGTGGTAGCGAGTGCCTTCTACTGATCTGTGGTTAGCTAGAAGAGCAGCATCACTGCGAAAAAACGAGAACAGGATCAACAAACGGATCCACAAGGCTGGGAAAATAGCTGGACACAAACTTGAAAGTCTGTGATTGGCAAAAGAGCCCTCACTAAGCTGCTTTACATCATAGACAGCAGTTTGCATCCCATCCATGAAATCGTCCAGAGACAGTGGAGCTAATCTTCTAACAGAATGGTCAGACTTTGTCGTCACATTGACTGTTTCAGAAAAAGAAAAAAAAAACTCTTATACCTTCCACCGTCTCACCTCTGTGATGGATGATCCCATTTCTACTCCCCATGTTGTGCATCTGTTCAGTCTGTTCACTGCCCAGTGTGTTCTGTACCAGTCAATGGCTATTTATACCCCCTTTTTTTGTACTGATCATTTCCACAATAATCTCTCCTCATGCTGAAAAGGAACCATCGACAGGTACAGTCATTTTTAGTGCATTTCTAATTCTTCCATTGTGTGCATACTTTTGTAATTTTCTTGCTCGTCAGTTATTGTGTTCTTTTGTATCATTTCTTTATCTAGCTCTGTGGCCACATTGTTAGCTGCTACTGTTACAAAACAACCCTTGTTGGAACCATTCCTTGTATCTGTGGCCTGAACTGCCCCCAGTGATGCTTTTACCTGTTCTGATAACCCACTTTAATAGTGAGGTGTTGTACTTTGCTTTTAAAAGTTCCTAAAAGTGTTTAAAAGTTTCATTCAACACCTGCAAGAGCATTTAGTTTTTCCTGGCTTTTTTTAAGATGTGTTCTTTCACCTTTGGTCGGACCTGTTCTTGGTATTTTGATGTTCTAAATGTTGCCATTTGTCACTGGACACTTTCAGGAAGATGGGAGTGCCAGAACAAAGGGCCAAAGGGCCAAAGGAAGGCAGTAGTAAGCGTACTATTGTGTAGCATGTGAAGCAGGGGCTACTTTGACCATTTTTTACTCTGAACCCTGGTGCTCACTTGGAATAGAATCGGTGTATGACTGACCGTTCACTCTTCTATTTCTAATGTGAGGTAAGGAGTGTAACTGAAAAGGCTCAACTCTTTTCCTTCTCTAATAGCACTATGTTGTAGAAGAACAAATCCCATGTTCACATGCAGATCTTGCTCTTTTTGCCTTAGCTGTACTATGCCAGGTGAAAGAAGACTTCATTGGGGAGTGGATGACTCAGACCCCAACGTTTCACAACAGCCTGCACATTTCCAAAATGGCCCTTATCTCTTATATATTCGCTTTGACAAGCATGCGACTTGTTGAAGTGGCAAAGACACATCGCAAAGATGTGAGTAATTGAAAACTTTTTCTTCATAGCCTCTCACCATTTACGTTCTGCCAACACCATGACCCCACATCCGGTCAAATCTGGCACTGCTTTGCTCCCCGGTGCTAACTGCATATGGCAGCTTGCAACAAGTAAAAAAAAAAACAGCATGCAGGCAGCAACCACGATCAACGTGCATATTTGTAGTTAAAATCAAATATATCCCAGGCCTTACCACTAACAGTGTCTGTAAGTTTTAGTAATAACTGCTTCCTTACAAAATCAGGCTTACTCACAAACAGTGGAGGCTAAAACTGCCACAGAGCTCAGCAATGCTGTGGGACACCTAGATTGGTCCCCACAATCAAACATTAAAATTTCCATTTCCCCGGCCTCATCTCTGAAACAGCTAGAAGAGGTTCTGCTTTGGAGATCAGTTGAAACTGCAGGACTTCTTTCCCTCACAGCAGCTCCAAAAATAGGATGTTCATAAAAGTCTGGCCATGATTGATTTATGTAAATCCAACAACTGTGTTGATCTTACCTGAGCCGGAGTTGTGTTTAGCTGTGTTGGAGGACGTGTGAGAGGTGGACGTGGAGGCCACCCTCTGCTCGGAGCTCAGGTTGTCCTGACCCGCAGCTGAGCTGGACTTCCTGGGCTTCTTGTCTGTCAGGTGCAGTGGGGAGCTCTTCTTGGGGGGGGGCAGGGGTCGCCGGGGCCTGGCGGTGGCGTTGACCCTCAGCCAGGCCTGGGCTTTGTACTCCACGATCTCCCCGTAGTTAGCCCGGGTCACCCGGCACTCGTACAGTCCCTCGTCATTTTTGCTGACTCTGGAGATCTGCAGCTTGTGTGAAATGTCGTTGCCTTGGACTTTCACTGTCTGTTAGAGTAAGCAAAAGAGGCCATAGGGTCAGTACATGTGACAGTCTGATTGTCCAGCAGCCAGGGTAAAAATAATCATCCATTTTCAGTGAGAAAACCTCTGAACACATGACAAAGTCTAAAAGACCTATACCAGTGTGGACATTCTGCGCCCCAATGCTAGAAAGCGATGTTATTATTATTATTATTAGTAGTAGTAGTAGTAGTAGTAGTAGTAGTAGTAGTAGTAGTACTAGTAGTTTTTTTATTTTATTGTATTTTATTTTCAGGGGGGGTGTATTGAAAGGACATTAGCACCTATTATAAATAACATATAACACATTACCATGATCCATCTGTACATCAATATCACCCTAATCACCTTAAATATTATTCTTAAGATGCTGAGGGCTGTTTTCAGTTATTTCTTTTTGCACAAAATGCAGAAGCTTTTGGTCCACATAGTCTTGGAGCCGAAGACTATTTTTAAGTTTTTACATGTATGTTCAGTTAAATTAAGGGTAAAGTGGAAAGGAAACCATGTAAATGGACATTATAAATCAATAAAACTTATGAGCATGGAAATTGATGCTGTTTTACATGCTCACAGTTTTAGCTATAAATATCCGCTGAGTTTATGCCCCTTGCCCAGTGTCTCTGATACACTGACATGTGAGTTAGCAGGATCTTCAGCCTGTCATTTCCCAGAGCACACAGCCATTTAGGATCTGAGAGCTCTACTGACATCAGTCATTAGAGGGCTGTGTGGTGCACGGAGCACAAAAGGCACATACGGAGTTTTGAGAAAAATGGGCAGAATGGTTGCTGCTGCATGATCACAGGAAGGGAAACACTCTGACAGTAATAATGTACTGCCACCAGCTCACTGATTAGCTCCTTTCTCTGTGGAGGTGTATTTTTCAGGAAATCAGCCGCTGTTGTGTTTGCCCTGAAAGAATCTCTGCCAACTTGAGTCATGATGGAATATGTTTGGAAAGTGCCGGTTTGCTACTGGGTATTCATGACGTGTTCTTCAGCTTACACTTATTTTTGTCCCTTCGTCATCAGGATCAGGCTCTTGTATCATCTCCATCTGGAAATACAAAGAAAAGAGAGGATTATTAAAGTGGCAGAAGCCTGTTGAACACAAGCTATCTCAAAGAGCCACTTAGAGGGAAGATACAGAGACATATTTATGCAGAGCAATTGTCAGGCTCCCAGAGACCAATGCTAAAGACTCCTCTAACAAACAGAAGAATAGGCTTCATCTATCCTCTGAGACTGATGAATATTTTAAACCAGCATCAACGCAGAGTTTGAGGTCTGAGTGACTGTGCTGCCACTGTTCTGCCTTAAAAATAAAAAATGCTACTTCCCCACTTCCTCTGTCTTATATTTAGATTCAGTAAGTGCTTTTGTAGAGAAATTAAAGGCAACATCCAGATGTTGCTAAATTTTAAGGGGAAAAAAACAAAACAAGTTCAAACCAGGATGCTGTGTGACCAACATGCAGCTTCCTCTGAGAAATCCCAGCTCTGCAGTCTCTGCGATAGAAATGGTGCTACCTGAGAAAATATTTGACTAATAAATGTCACAGGGGCTTCAAAAAGCTCTTTTTTCATCAAAGCACAAAAACACTTAAAATGTCTTTGCTCGAGTCCTTTCTGGCATAATTGTAACGTGGTGGCCAGCATTAAGCCCACGGCCAACATCATGGAATGGGCATCGATTTTTAGAGGTTATAATTTATTTATCCCACATTGGATGCCAAATGGATGTGTTCCCAGGGGATGCAAAAGGCTGCTGACACAAAGCTGAAGAGGAGCAAGTGCAGCATTTTAGAAAAAAAAAACAAGAAAACTTGAGAGGAGAAAGAGAGGGAAGTTTCTCCAGAGGACATGGAAGCTATTTGCTTCACAGTGGAGACGCACACACAAAAGGAAAGGGCAGGATTGGGATGAGATGGCTACTTATGAGCATTTGCTGCGCACGGTGCTCCTTCAAGTTCTGTAATTACTTTGGTGGAACAGGGCCACTTTTCTCTGGAGGATGTGCGGCAGACAGGTGATTAATGGGGAGAATTAGGAGCCATAACTTCTCTCTTTCTGCATTTATGCATGAATCTTATATTCTGACTTCACAGACGGACCTGGCATCCTCTATTGTAGGAGATGGAGATTGTAAGAAATGTCTTCAGACGAGGCAGGATTAATTGTCTTCGATCTTAGAGTCAGGACTGTTTAAAGTCATCACTTTCAGCCTGCTCTTTTACATTGACCCTACAGTACTTGCACAGGCTTGGCGGTCAGTCCTTTCATGGCACCAGATCCATCAGGTCTTCCTGTCAGATCTAAAATTTACATTACTTCTCCAGTATTTCATCTGTGACATTGAAAATTAGCATGCCATTACAATAGCTGTACACGATTTTCAGGTTTTAGAGTTTAAACTGTTGGTTGACTGTTGTAATTGAAGATAAACAGTTTTATTTAAATACCTCCACATGTATTTTCAAATCTCTAATTTAAGGTCTTTTTTATATAATTACAGGATTTTTCATGAGGACTTACATGAGCTTAAAATCCTATTCTGAGAAACAGAAAACCAATGAAGAGAAGCTAAAGCTGGAGAAATGTGATCCTTACTGCTGGTTCTCATCAGAACTCTGGCTGCAGCTTTTCATATCAGCAAGAGGCTTTGTGCAAGTACTTTAAAACAACTGTTTTCTTTGAATTTTCACCTTGGAAAAATCAAGTCCCCTGACTGATGTTGTGCTCATGGTTCATCTCAAAACACTCATATGTATGCAGGAGGGCTTTTTAAATTACATAAAAGCTGTCTTCACGTATAGATTTGACCTATAGTTTGTTGTGAGACTGATTCTGATAAACTGCTAAAAGTAGCTAAAAACTGAAAGAAGAAATTGGTGAAAATAAATGAAACAGGGTTACATTTTTTCATATTTAATGGAATATCACTGCACCCTGATTCTAATTAAAAGCTACATTTTCCAAAGGTTCACACTTGTTATTCATCCATCCATCCATTTGTGTAACCACTTATTCCCTAATGTGGTCACAGGGGGACTGGAGCCTGTCCCAGTGGTCAATAGGCGAGGGGGGAGTCTCCCTGAACCAGTTCAAACATGGGCGATCACATATGTAGATGCTGCTGTTTTACTGTCTAGTGTTTTGTATTTCTCCACCTTTTGCAGCTGGAGCTGCTCTGAAAACAGACACTAAGTGATGAGGCCAAATGTTTAAGTCACTGGAGTAAACTCTGATAAAAACAAATGTCTCCCAAAGCTCATCAGGCAACAGAGTTGGTAGCAGGGATGAAGTTTCACAAGATACAAGATGGCAGCATTAGGCATCAGAACCAACAACTGTAGCTGTATACAGGTGGGAACAGTGCAGGAGGAAAAAAAAAAAAAGAGAGATTCAACCTTTTTTCTGTCATTTTAGCACATCTCTCCTTCAACTCCGGGTTAAGTGACTGTACTCATTTGTTCACATACTGGAAAAACAAACCTTTATCTAGGTTGTCATCTACCTCTCAAACATTTTGAATAATTTCTTCCATATTGCATTCATAACATTTAACTAAAAAAGTGTATACATTTGTAAATCCCTTTTTCACCTTCCACTTAAAACATTCAAAATGTTTGTCTGAATGTCCAACGTTAAATCATATTCCATTATTAATAATAAACATGTATTATCGGCTGTAAACAGATTGTAAATTAATTACTTGCATTATTGATTTAGCTTTGCCTGTCGGAAAAAATCGAAACCTTTATTAAAAACAATTACTGTTGCTTCATGTAGATATTCAAGGTTGAAGTTTGAATCAGTGATGAAATTGTAAAAGTTTTTCCTGACATTGTCAAACCAGGCCACGATTATTTTCTCCTTTTGTATTTCATTTCCGTCACGAGTGCCTCCTGAGCCACGGCTGCTCACGAGTGTCTCAGTTTAAATTGCTTGTCTCTTTATTGCAAAACCCTTCCACCATGACACACTGCCTATTCTTCATTCAAATCTTAAATTGACTTCTTGTAAAATGTACTCTGTAATTACTGTGCATCAAAAAAGCCTCATTGAGCGGCTGAGACTAAATGGATGTCACAAGAAGAAAAATGATGATCATTTCCACTGAAAAGTGGAAATGACCCCCCCTGACCAGCTGCCATTGCACCGCATTTCACAATATGATGGAAGAGAATCCCATCTGAGGTCCTGGAGTCTGGCTGATAGAAAAGACCAATGATTAAAGCAAACAATGAATAGAACAAATCAAAAGCTTATCAGCTTTAGAAACACAAACTCAAATTTAGAGGAGTGCTCAGGGCCAGAATCATCTTCAGCCTGTCCCTTAATCAACATAATTTAACAATGCATCCATCGGTATGTGCCCTGGCCCAGTGGCATCACACCCACCAGCAGGAGGCTGGGACTGACCGGTCCTGGTGCAGCTGAGCTGCCCCCAGCCCAGACTGGACTCATACCGTTAGCCGATCAGAGCAACAGGAGCATAGATGATGTCATTTCCTCTGGACTGCTCTCTGCTCACACACCTGGACAACAGCAGCACCAATGCATTATTGGTGTTTGCTGCCTTCAGCTCAGCTTTCAAAATTATCCTTCTCCTCGAGTTAGCCACCAGATTTCGACACCTGGGCCCCAGCACCGTCTTCTGTAAGTGGATTTAGGACTTTGAGCCCTTTCCTCCAGCCCCTCCCCACCGTACTGTGATTCCTCACAATAATTCAAGTCATCATAGCAGGACACCATTTTTTTATCGGACTACGAAAAACAACTCTTGTCAGATGGATCGAGTTCTTTGGTCATCGTTTTAAGCCATTCAACATTTTATCCTTCTGGCCTTGAAAATGTTTTTCTGACTTTTTATCAACTGCTACCTTGAAAACGTTTTAAAGTATTATAATAATGAACCAATACAAGACATTAATCTTAATCACCCTAAACATCCATATTGCGACTTTTAAATATTTTTTTG